GAATTTTTACCTAACTTCTCCAAGTCTTGTTTCTTCTGCAATAAAGGTATAATAGTATTTACTTAACAGGACTGTTGAAGGAATTGAGTGCAGAGAAAAATTATGTGAAGGGCTGAACAATGTCTGATAAACATTAGGTGCAACCCAACTCTTCTATAATATACATGTCTTTGACATAAGTGTATTGCTTATAAAATTTGAGTAATATTATTCTAAAAAGCAGAAAACTCCTCAAAGTCCCCTATCATTGTTTGAAATTATTGTTATTATGATATTCCCCAGACTGGTCTCAAACTCATAGGCTCAAGCCTCAGACTCCCAAGGTGCTGGGATTACAGGCGTGAGCCACCAAGCCCTGCCAAAAACTCCACTTTTATAAAATCACCTTTGAACACTTTTCAGCTGGGATAGACTCACTTATAGTCATAAAACTGTTAGACGGAAACAAGCCAAAACAGCAGGATATCCTCTGACTTTCTAGTTTCCTTGGTTTCCCAGGAGCTGCCATCCTCTCTAAAGAGAGGACACTTAAATATTTACATACCTAAAACGAAGCATGAATGCTTCAAGAATTTTATACACACATTTGAATGTTTTCTTTAAAAATGTTTTTATTATACACTATCATGTATATTGCAAGTAGACATCTATTCTCAACACTTATCTTTCCCAGACAGATAGCATACTTTTTGGAAGAAATTTTATATTCTATTAGTCTTTGGTCATTTGCAGCTTCCACACAAAGTATAAAACAAAGCAACCTCACACATTAAAATTAAAGCAAGCTATAACGTCAAAGAAATGTAAATAACATATAATTTCATGAGATTGATAATGTTGCTTTGGCAGTCCTAAACCACAATCTGTAACATGAACATGGTACTGATGACAACACAGACTCTCTTAATTTAAACATTCCTTCATTAGGGAGAGCCTGATGATACACTCTCAACCCTCTGCCAGTTTTCTTACTCCTGAAAAATCTCCGTAAGTACAAACTGATGTATTATAGACCAAATATTAAGTACATCTTTACATTTTTCTCATTGACTAGAAAAGAATTTCATTAATCTATGATGCCTTTGATTATTAAATACATAATTGTTTTATATACCACTAAGAAAGAAAAATACTTCTAACTGAACTATGACACAACGCTGTGTCATCAATTTTAAGCGCATCATAATTTTAGAGATACTAAACAAGTCTTTCTTATGATCAATGAATACAATAGTGCTGCTTAGTACCACAGTAATATTTAATGTAAACCCAAAATTTGGCTCCTAAATCACTAACACTTTAAAATACAGAATATATTTATAATGCATTCCTTTAAATTATCACTGACCTGAAAACAACATTTAAAAGACATTTCTAGGGAACTTGTGAAACCTAAAAATATGTACATGCATTCCTGAAATTCTGCCAATACTACTTTAAGAAACATTGACTTAGGCTTCACGTCTAAACCACGGTAATATCACTAAGGCATCAAAAATGTTATAGAAATTGATGAGATCACAACAAGGAAGCATTTTCAATTCTTAAAGGAGAACAAAGACCCTACTCCTAACAGAAATTATTTAACAGTTTATTTATTAAATGCCACTTGTGTATGGTAGAAAGACACCTGAGAAAAAAAGGTAAAACAAAAATTTTCAACTCTGTCTTTTTGGAAACTAAGAGTGTTCACTTTTAGTAATTAACTGCTATGTTCCAACACTATTTTAGCATTTTACATACATTATCCCAGTGTGATATTATCCACATCTTCAGTATACATCTATTATTTTAATGCATCTCCCTTTTTGGTGTAAATATTTTCCACTCAGTATGTGCTACAAAAATATCCATATAAACTCTGCCCATTCTATCATCTCCTTAATTTCCAACCTTACCTGAATTCGACATTTTTCTTTCCCAACAATTACACCACTCAACAGCTATTATAGATAAGAAAACAGAGATGAAAAAAGATTAAAACATTAAATTCATACATTATCATTTTACTAATAGACAACTACTACTCTTCTCACTTGGCTATACAGCCTTTCAAAAGTTTTAATGTATGCAAAGCTTTATAATTCTCAAAAATGGGGTATACTGTGTATATAGTCGTGTAACCACCTTTTCCGTTTAAGATTATATGCTGAATTTTTTCCATGTGAATAAATGTAGATGTCTATCAATATTTTCAATGGCTGCAGAACATTTAAATATGCAGATATATCTTAAATTTATGAGTAAAAAGCAGATAAAATCACCCATAGAGAACCAATAACATTCTGGGAGTATGCAGCAGAGTTTATGCAGAGATTATTAAGATACATTTTCTTCATAAAAAGTATGGCATGTGCTTTTACAGCCTACTTTTCCCACTTAAGATTATATGCTGATGTTCTCACTTATTTGTGGTAGCTAAAAATTAAAACAATCGAACTCATAAGAGAGTAGAATGATGGTTATCAGAGGCTGGGAAGGGTAGTGGAGGACTGAGAGGAAGTGGGAATGATTAATGGGTACAAAAAGTGGTTAGACTACAGAAGGGGAGAAAAATGTTTGCAATCTACTCATCTGACAAAGGTCTAATATCCAAAATCTACAAGGAACTTAAACAAATTCACAAGAAAAAAACAAAAAAAAATTCACAAAATTGGCAAAGATATGAACAAACACTTCTCAAAAGCAGACATTTTTGTGGCCAACAACCATATGAAAAAAAGCTCAACATCACTAATCATTAGAGAAATGTAAATCAAACCACAATGAGATACCATCTCACACCAGTCAGAATAGCTATTATTAAAAAGTCAAGACACAATAGATTCTGGCAAGGCTGTGGAGAAATAGGAACACTTCTACACTGTTGGTGAGAATGTAAATTAGTTCAACCATTGTGGAAGACAGTGTAAGGATTCCTCAAGGATCTAGAACCAGAAATACCTTTTGATCCAGCAATCCCATTACTACATATATACCCAAAGGATATAAATCATTCTACTATAAAGACACATGCACGTGTATGTTTATTGCAGCACTATTTACAATAGCAAAGACACGGAACCAACCCAAATGGCCATCAATGATAGACTGGATAAAGAAAATGTGGTATATATACACCATGGAATACTGTGTAGCCATAAAAAGGAATGAGATTATGTCCTTTGCAGAGACATGGATGAAGCTGCAAGCCATCATTCTCAGCAAACTAACACAGGAACAGAAAATCAAACACTGCATGCTCTCACTCATGTTGAACAATGAGAACACATGGACACAAGGAGGGGAACAATACATGTCAGGGCCTGTGAAGGATTTGGTGCAAGGGGAGGGAAACTAGATGACAGATTAATAGGTGCAGCAAATCACCATGGCACACGTATAGCTATATAACAAACCTGCACATTCTGCACATGTATCCCGGAACTTAAAGTAAAATATACATAAATAAATAAATAAATAAAACTAAATGGCTAGAAATAGTAAGATCTAGTATTCAATAGCATAACAGGGTGACTATGGTCCATAATAATTTAATTGTACATGGTAAAATAGCTAAAAGACTATAATTGGATTGTTTGTAACACAAAGGATAAATGCTTGAGGTGATCAGTACCCCATTAACCCTGATGTGATTACTACACATTGCATGCTGCTATCAAAATATCTCATGTAACCCATAAATATATACACCTATTATGTACCCACAAAAATTAAATTTAAATTTTGAAACAAATTATATGCTAAATTTCTAATGTAAGTAAATGTAGATGTCTATCAACATTTTCAATAGCTGTATAATATTTAAGTGTGTAGACATACATTAATTTGTTTAGCCAACTGTTTATCTTGAGATACTTGGGTCATTTACAACTTTTCACCCTTCAAAACAGTTTGAAGATGCACAGCTTTCTACAAGCCAATTATGTGATTATTTCCTAAAGATACATTTCTATAAGTGGAATTAACAGGTCAAAGGATGTGCATATATTACAATGGACCTTGTGGCAGTGTATACTCTCACCAGCAGATGGAGAGTACTCCTCCCCGCACACCCTCACCCTCACTATGGGGTGGGAGAGAGGTAGACCTTCTATGTGTATCCCAGCAGCACTCTCGATGGTTCCATAAAGGCCCCACCTTAACCAACCTTATAAAGGAAATCTGATACAAGCACTAAAACTTATTCTTTCTTCTAGTATACTTTCTTCTTATCTCAAAGTAGTAACTGTTCACTTACATGGGTACCAGAATTGGCCAAGAGGACATTTTTCTGTCAAATGTCCCCAGGACCCTAAAATAAAATTGGTCCTCTTTGTGTGTCTCCAGAATACACCTCAGCACTTTTTGGTTCAAAAGGTCTCTCATTTCCATCCTCTCCTTACCATTCCTATGGCCACCAGTAAAATTTCACGCCTGTGTTATCTCATGCCTGGACTAACTTATGGTAGCTTCCTGCTTTTCCAATCTTCAGTCACCACTCCTATCCCCACCCCAGCTTGGATTTATGCTGCACATAAATCTACCATATTATTTTCCTTTCATCGTGTCAATCTTCTGTCACAAAATGCCTTCTTGATGTCTCACAGGGGTGGATGGGGTAATATTCAAATACCCCAGTTTAGCAGTTAGGGGTGCTCTACAAACAGGACTCACCTCTACTGCCTGACTCTCTCTCATCACTACCCTCCCTACACTTTCCCTTCCAGCAAACCAGCACTTGTCTCTGAAGAAGGATTCCCATCTCCATGCCTTTCTTCCCATCTCTCCTCCCATCTTGAGTGCCCTTCTGACCCTTTGTATCCTGTTTTCAAACCCAGCTTACTTAAGAGTTCTCCTCCTCTGTAAAACTTTCCTGGAGCATTGTTGCCTGAAGCTGTTTCTGCTGCCTCTAAACACTGATGGTTTCCCGGTTTTGTTAATATGTCTTTGTTTTAGTTTCCATATATCTTATCTTTCCAAACAGATCATAAATTCAAGGACAGGAACAATGTTTTTTCTCTGCTGCTTAAAACACAACTTTATTGATGAAACACAAGTCTTAGATTAAAAAATATAAACTAATATAAAAGTGTAGCTTATTCATGATGTATAACTCATTCACTGTCAGTTTAGGTAGCGGAAAGATTAAAAATAATCTAGGTAACAAGATCAAATCAACAAATTCTTTCTGTGTACAAGTACTAATATTCCATTTGGCATCCTTAAAATGGCCCAGCCTAAACCCAACCATCACAACCAATATCAGTCACTATTGATGATATATGATATTCATTATTCCAAAATAGCAGCTTTAAAGATCTCTTTACCATATAAGCACAGTGAAAAACAAAGAATTTACAAAACACATCATCCCAAGTGCAAATACCTCAATACTGTTTGGGACACATTCCAAATTAGAGTTTTGTTAATACTTTCAGGACTTTTACTTTCACCACCAGATCATTGTGATTTGCTAATGCTTTGATTTTCTTAACACAAACTCCAGACTCCTTAAATAAGAAAAAAAGTGAACTTCTGCTGAATTCTTTCCTGGATGATGCAAGCCCTTCACTTTTGATGTTGTCATTTATATTCTCAAATAGAGTAAGGATATTAAGAAGAATCTCTCTATCCCATTCTTTATTAAAGAGGGAAATCAATTCTGATGGTACTTTACAACTGACCAGCTCTCTTGTCATGGCTGGATTTTCTGTAAAGTTTATAATTAGTTTCATAATCTGTATCTTAGTGAAGTGATTTCCCAGGAATAGCAAAGCAAAAAAGTCTGGAAAAGAATAGGAAAGCAAATGTTGGTAATGATTAGTCACAGTCATGTTGGTTAATAGTCTTAGCCCAGCCATCTGCACAGCTGAGTCCAAGCGACAGACCATGGTGTCATCACACACTTGACTGATGTACGTCTTAATCTTGCCCTGATTTTCAGCATTCACACTCAAATTATTAAGGGCATTGTAAGTCTTTTCTCTAATTATGGGGTCTTTCGTTTTTATCAGTTTTGCAATAATTGGGACACCACCCAATTCACGTATGGCATTCTGGTTAAATGAATATGCTGCATTGTTGCCCAGAGTGACCAAGGCTACTTCTTGAATAAAAGGATCATTTGTTCGCTCCAGTATGTTGAGGACCTTTTGAAGGTCGGGAGCACTCAGAATATCATCAATTTTATAAGGAAAGTTGAACTTGCCCCTGCGGACAGGCCATGTTGTAGCTGGAGCCCTGGTGCTCTTACTTCGGGCCTTTCCCTTAGATTTTCCATTTGCCTTGCCCCCAGCCCTAGATCCACTCCTGGTGGGATGGCAGCCTCCACCCCTGCCTCCTGGGCATGGTAAACTTGGTGCAAGGGTCCTGTTTCCAGAGATGATACCCATCCTGACCCCTTTGCCTGCCTTTGTACTTGCCTGCTCCTTCAGCATGTTGAAAAGGGCCTTGGCTTTGGCCTCTAGGCCACCTCCGCTGTGGGATCCTGAGTGGACCTTCTCTTTTACACCTGGACAATTCTCGAGTCCCAAACTCACCTCAGGCTTGACCTTAGAGTCACCGTGAAGTTTGGCCCCAGACCCTGCCCCAACGTTAGCTTTAGCTCCTTTCACAGTCTCAACCCCAGTCTCTGAAGTGTCCATAGACTCCTCGTCTTCATCTAAGATTTTCTCGTTCTCATCTCTTCCCCAAGTCAATTTGTATACACAGTAGCAGGCACCAGCCCCGATAACCACACCAGCAGCCACGCAGCCAGCTTCCCGAGTGCGGCCCATGGTATGGCCGGGAGAAATCTCTTAACCAGAGCACAAAACAGGCTTGCTCTGGCCCAGAGAAGCGCGCGACGTCGCGGGTGGAGTCTGCAGCTACTATCCGGCTGGCTCCGAGGCAGCTTGGACCTAGGAATAAAGGATGCATTTCAGGTTTCAGGCTCCTCCTCCTTTTGTATCTTTGCAAGCAGACTGCAAAACAAACAAGTGTACAAAAATACAGAGATATTGGTAGAGAGACTTAGGGCTTGATGTCTAGATCACTGATTCCTTTCTCCCATCTGGAAGCCAAGTTTGGAAATTTTCCCCACTTCCAGACTCTCCAACCTCACGTTCCACCACCCCACCCCAGAACATCAAAGTTCCCTATCACCCCTGCCCTTCCAGATGTCCTGGGGACAGGGGCGCCCTCACATGCACCCACAGAGATCCAGGCAGTTTTTTCCTTCTGTCTTGCTTCCAAGTGCACTGCTTCGTGCAAACCTGCAGACAAGGGGGCGGGAAGAGGAGTGCTGAGAACTCGGGGACAAACAGATCTCACCTGAGACACACATCCCTCTTCTGAATTCCTAGCCCTTTTATCTGCCTTGCCCAGTGTTTCCCGCCTTCGGTTACCCTCCTCTTCTCACACAGCTGCGGCTTTGAAATTCATTATCTTCCTCCCTCTTCCGCCTTCGATGATTCCTCTAACCCTCCACTCCACCTCCACCCCCACCCCCATCATTGGCATCCTCCGAAGATGTCGCCAAACCCTCTTCTTTGTAACAAAATGAATAATGATGAAGTGAGAATAGCTAAAAGCCGGACTGGCGTGAAATGCGTAAAGGTTTTGAACTCTGCACTTGCCTCCACCAACTCCTCCAACTCAAAGGCACCAGGACCCCCCCACCCCTGCGTCATTATACCAACTACTTTGCTCGGGAGCAACTTCTTTCCTCCCTCATCTCGGTTTCCGCTTCCACTAAACCTTCAAGACTGACAAACTTCAGAAGTGAGTGCTTGGTCGACGGACCAACACCAAGGACACTGTAACCCAAACAGTAATTTGGAGTAACATGCTCCCCACCCCAAGTGTCTCTTGACGTGGGGAGCTCCCCACCCCTTCCCAACTATTTTCTTCCCTGTCTTGTACTTGCAGAGTAGTTTCTTTTGCAAGCTCCAACAAAATGGTGTAGATAAGAGGGAAGGAGGGAAATGTGGAGGGGGTCCACGGGCCCACTCGAGTTGCAGTGGCCACCATGCTCCACCCCCAAATAATACCACCACCCTCTTTAGGACCTACTTGGTTCTGGACAACTTTGCGTTTCTTCCTGTTCCAGGGGTAGGACTGGCTTCCGGGCTCAAGATCTGCAGACACAGGCAAGAAAGCAGAGACTGATGGCTCAGCAGACAGAAAAGCACTTCGGAGAGTCCCAATACCCGCTTTTCCTTATTAAGGGTCCTGGCTGTCAAATAGATTTTACCTTTTTTTCTCTCACCCTACCCTCACTTCTCTGGACTCGGCTGACACCAGCCTTCTCGCTAAGTAGCGTCCCCGCACCCCCAGGTCCCACCCCCGGGCCCCGCCCCCGGCCCCTGGCCCCTCACTCCCTCCCGCAGCCCCCTCCGTCAGCCATTTTCCCAGCAGAAAACACACCCCTTTCAAACCACTGGAAGCAGGGCGGGGCGAGGGGGGATTCGGAAAATCCGAGGAGCCAAACAAAACCAACTGATCTCTTCTATCCCTTTCCCCAAAGCACCCTACCCGCAATGACAAGCACTTTTCCTGTAGGCACTGTTACATCCTCTTCCTGAAAAAAAAAAAAAAAAAAAAAAAAAAAAAGGCAGAAGATTGCTTGAGAGTGGGTAAGGGGTCCGAGTTAAGGCAAGGAGCTCAGCCATCCCCGTCCATCTGAGGGCCACGGGGCAGCCCCAGGTTTACACTGACCTGCAGATTCGGGGCAGACTATTCCTTTGTTCCAAATGGCACAGTGCCCTACTGAAAGAAAAGAGGAATGACTGTCAGAAGCACAGCCCCAAGAGTCTAGACTGGTAGATGGACCAGCACACAGGAAATGAATCCGAGTATCTGCCCTTCCTGATTCAAGGCTCTGGATGTCAAAAGTCCCACCACGCGCGAGTCTGGGGTCGCCCCTGCAATCCGACCCCAAGGTCCACCATTTTTGTTCTAGGGCCAGAGATACTAGGAGGGTTTGCAGAAAGCGAACTATGCTCCGGCTTCGGCCTCCACCCGTCACTGCCCGCACAGCAGGGATCCCCCGGCAACGCCCATCCACACACAAACCTGCTTGGATCCAGGCAGTTACCTCCTCCTCCTTCCCCCAGGCCAAGGATCCTCTGGCCCTCTGTGAAATAGAGAGAAGGCAACCGGACCAAATGAAGACTAGGATTAGAAGGACGTCTGCACTCGTCGGCTCCAGCTCACGTGAGGGCCACGTCACCCGTGAGATCAGGGCCCCAATTACCACTCCCATCAGCATGCCGCAGGAGCCAGTTCTCCCCTTCCTTCCCTGACGCATCAGGTCCTGCCACTCATTTTCCTCTTTGCCAGCCCCGGAGACAAGAAGTGCCTTCTCGTTGTGGTTGGAATTTTCCTTTCTTTGGTTTACAGGGAGAGGGTGTACCTGCTCCTGTGTCCATTGGCCTTTTCTTCCTCTTTGAGGAATAATGTTTTATCTTCTCTAGTCCCAGTCCAACTGTCTTTCCCTTCACCTTCGCTCACCACCAGACATGAATGTCCAATATTTCCTCTGCAACCCTATAAAATGTGGAGCAAGATGTTAGAAAAGGAGATAGGTCATGGAAGTGTCTTATTTAAACTTTTCTGCTCATTTGTTTTTAACTCAGTAATACCTTACTTCTATATTGAGAAAATAAAATGATGCTATTTTCCTTTGAGTTGAGAATTTAAACAGGACAGAAAACCCAAAAGGCCTTATTAATTTCATTATTTTATTTGTAACAAAAGGAAAATATTTCTACCGGTTACAGCCAAATAGTAGCTTTTAAAACAAAATAACTTATTTTAATATTCAAAAGTGGGCTGAGGTGGGTGGATTGCTGAAGCCCAGGAGTTTAAGGCTGCAGTGAGCTATGATCTCACCACTGCACTCCAGCCTGGGTGACAGAGAGCAAGACTCTATCTCTTTTTTAAAAAAATGATTTTTTTTAAGACAGAGTCTCGGACTGTCACCCAGGCTGCTGTGCAGTGGCGGGATCTCAGCTTGTTGCAGCCTTAATCTCCCGGGTTCAAGCAATTCTACCTCAGCCTCCTGAGTAGCTGGGATTATACACACCCACCACCATGCCCGGCTAATTTTTTGTATTTTTAGTAGAGACAGATTTTCACTATGTTGGCCATGCTGGTCTCAAACTCCGACCTCGTGATCTGCCCACCTCAGCTTCCCAAAGTGCTGGGATTACAGGCGTAAGCCACTTTGCCCAGCTGGATTTTTTTTTTTACATGATCTATGAATTAATCCACAAAGAGACAACTAGTTGTCTATTCTTGGCCAGTTTACACAAATGATTCATTACTTTTTCTACTTTTGAATCAACTTGCAATTTGATAAGATAAAAGCAACACAATCCTGTCTTATTTCATTAAAGAAAAACATGTATTTAACATCCCAAAGTCTTGGCAGACTGTCATATGGACCTCTTGTGATTTGATGGCTACTCTGATCACCTGTCTCTAATTGAATTTCACTCTACTGAGGCTAAGACACCTTAGGGTGTGAGGGATGCAGAGATGTTCTAATCCTCCCTGGCTGTCAAGAGCAGACGAAAGTGCTGCCCTCTCACCCTCCACCATTCCATAGTCTCATCCCCTGTATTCAGGCACCCATCTGTTGTTCACTCCAAAAATATATATGGACGGGTGACCAAGGCAGTAAATGCCAGGTTTTCTCAGGTAACCAATCACAGTAAATACCTTTGGCTCCTTCCTTTCCTTCCCCAAATTCCCACAGAGGTAACTCAGTAATGCATCAAAGGGCTTACTGTTCCTGTCTACCCCTCTGCCCTTATTCATGATGCCTAAGTGAAGGTTGCTCCTAATACTGTGTGCTGCCACCACCTGACTTGACAGGTGCAGTCAGCTGGGCCTCTTGCCTCTGGCTTCCTTAAGGAGACAACCTAATCTTGTTGCAGAGTTACCGCCTGCCAGTCCATATCCACCTTGGTGCCCGCTCAGCCAAATGTATGCCCAAGGAACAATCCCCACAAATTAACCCAGAGTAGGCGCTCTCACCCGGCCAACTTTGTGGACCACCTTCAATTGTGGGCATCCATATATTCATTTTCATGGAGAAAGGAGCCATAGCTTTCATCAGATTCCCACAGGCATGTATGACTTTTTAAAAATAACTAAGAACTATTAATACTTTCCTGAAAAAAAAAGCTATATATCCCCACAATAGAAAGTCTACTCTTCCCCAGCACTATGGGAGACTGAGGCAGGCAGATCACTTGAGGTCAGGAGTTAGAGACCAGCCTGGCCAACATGGTGAAGCCCCGTCTCTACTAAAAATACAAAATTAGCCAGGCATGGTGGTGCACACCTGTAGTCCCAGCTACTTGGGAGGCTGAGGCTGGAGAATTGCCTGAACCCAGGAGGCAGAGATTGCAGTGAGTCAAGATTGAGCCATTGCACTCCAGACTGGGCAACAGAGCAAGACTCTATCTCATAAAAATAAAAAAGAAAGAAAGAAAAAGAAGAAAGTCTATTCCTCTCCCCTCTTCTCTGTATCTAGTTATATACTTACTTTTTTCAGTGCAGAAATCTGTAAAGTAGAAAGCTAAATTGCCCTGTAATGTCTATTCTACCACCAAGCTCTTTCAATGATATCTACCTTTCTTCTTGCAAATATGCAGTACATGTATATGAATGTGTCAAGTTCCAAGTTCAACAATATACAAAACAATTGACATTTACTGCGGTACTTGCAATAAATCTGCACTTTAATTTGATAATTTATGTCTTTAAAAATGGAAAGGAGCATCACACACTGGGGTCTATTGAGAGTGCATAGGGGAGGGACAGTGGGGGGTAGGGAGCTTGGGGAGGGATAACATGGGGAGAAATGCCAGATATAGATGACGGGGGGACGGAGGCAGCAAACCGCATTGCCATATATGTACCTATGCAACAATCCTGCATATTCTCCACATGTATTCCAGAACCTAAAGTGCAATAAAATGTATATATATATATATAATTTAAAAAAGAAAGTATCCACATATTCTTACTTCAGTAAGTTGCATCCAGAAATCATCTGACTTTAAGCACAATTTTATTAAGATTTTGTTTCATTTTTCTATAATTTTCTCTGCTGTACCTTTCCCTACCTATAGACTTTATCCTTGGTTGTGCATTCTAATGGTATCAAAATAGCTGCAATAGTTCTAGGCCTCACACCAGCATCTCAGTCAAAGTCCTAGCCAGAAAAAAAAAAATCAAAATCAGATGCTTCAAGGGACCTTAATGTAGGGACTACTTACAGAAGTATATACAAGATCATGAGACCCAACAAGCAATTTTATGGCATCCAGAGGCTAGCAATAGCAGGAAGCTGTTGCCCTAAGCCTGAAAGGACAAGAGGAAGAAGTAGTATTTCTGGAGCCTAGTAAGAGCTAGAGTCACGGAGTAGGAGCCTCTGGCAGAAGCTAAAATCTTGAAGGGATGCAGTCACTGACAATAAAACATAGCCCAAATCAGAGTGGGAGCAGTGCAGAAATACACTGTGCCAGTGCATTCCATTGACCAAACCCAAGCAGAATTCAACTACAAATGCAGTCTAGGGGATGCAGTTTCTAGTGATCATCCTCCCAGGGCACAGAACAAGACAGAGAAGGACAGAAAATGAATCAGGATGTGTGGGAAAATAAAGACTAACCACCATGGTCCTCTCCTTTCACATTCAGCATCTATTCTTGTTATTCTATTCTCCCAATAGGGAGGCAGGGGGAAAAAAATCCCATCACCCACTGTAATGTTATGAGATAATGCTAATTCAATCACATTCCACCACCTGAAACCTGATTTATAACAATTATCTCAAGTATTTTTCATGTAATCAGAGGAAAGGAAGAGAAAAATAAATTAACAAACATGTGCATAGCTGTTACAGTTTCCCTCTGAAGCTGATCATGAGGCCAAAGTCAATAATCAACTTCATTCTTCTACCACCCATTTCATATTACCCCTACAGTAACCTGGTTAAAATTATTTCCCTGATATAGTGACCCTAATCTTCAATCCTGTGTTTGTTGAATTTCTGCACTTTCCCACTGACCAGGACTATTAGGCAAAGCAATACTGGGAGATGCTCCAGTGAGTATCCCTGGGCTCTGAGCATTGTTCTCCCTGTTTGTATAGCAGCAACATTATTTCCTCTTAAAATTGGGCTCAATCACTCCAGCCAGTATAGCAGTTCAGCGGCACAAGAGGACAAAAATGGCAAGAATGTAGTCTTAGCTTTTAATGTAATGGAACTATGGCTTTATTTCCTGGTGAAAGCATTCATCCCTGCTGTGCCTAAGAGTCCAAGGTTGTGGAGACAGAAAAAAAAAACATATATTTCTTCAGTAGGTTAACCAATGTAATAGTGAAAAGGGCCACTCCTTCCATTACTTCTTTATTCCTAGTCCTGTGTAACCTCACTATGGGGAAAAAGAAAGCACAATATATGGGTTGTTCTGTTAAAGCATCTATGGCAATCTTGTAGTACAGCACTTCCAGGAACAGCTGTCCCCATAACTAAGCTTCCAGTAAGTTATTTATTTTTTTATAAGGTAAGCTGCTTCTGCATGGTAAAGTAAGTAGTAAAGACTAGTGAATCTTTGGATCTGTACTTCACTTACCATCAGAGACAACTTGATTAAGGCATTCAGGAAGTCCATGGAGATGGTGCTGAAAGAACCATTGTCAGCAAGGAAGGTAAATGTGTGTCTACATTTCCATGAGGAAGTTTCTGTTTTCATCATGATGAAAGGTGCCCCATGTAATAATCCTACCACCTAAGAAATGGTGTCTTAGAGAGGTCCATCATCTTCTCTGTAGTTAGGTTGGGCACTTAGTACAAGATCAGCCTTGGTGAGTAGAAGCCCGTATTGTTGAATTTAGGCATAGCCTCTATAATATTGACGCTAAATATAGCAAAGATAACATAGACTTAAAAATATGACTATTTGTACTATTCTTTTGCCACAGTACTACTCGAATTTACTAATATTTTATTTTGGATATTTACATCTATATTTCTAAGTTAGACTGACCTCTCATGTTTACTTTTTTACTTCTATTCTTCTTTGTTTGGACATAAGCATTATGTTAGCCTTAGGGAACGAATTGGGTAAGTTTCTACATTTTCCTATGCTCTAGAACACTTTAAGTTAGATAAAAATTATTGAATCTTTGTCAATGGTTATGGTGGGAAAAATAATGGCTCCTCAAAGATGTCTACATATTGGAATCTGTGAACATGTTACCTCATATAGCAAAGGGGACTTTGCAGATGTGATTATGTTAAGAATATTGAGATCAGAAGATTATCCAGTACTATCTGGGTGGACCCAATGTCTACCCTTGTAAAGGAAGGAAGGGTATTTTTAAAGGAAGGAAGGAGGCAGATGAGTCAGAAAAAGATGTGACAAAAGAATTAAGCAATGAGACAGTGGAATGCAGGCAGCCTCTAGAAGCTGGAAAATGCTAGGAAATAGATTCTCCACTAGAGCATCCGGTGGTAAAACAGCCCT